TTGGATTCGGGTTTTGAGTGTGAGCGTGTTTAACGACGGAAACGTCTCGAATCTCGACGCAGAGTAGAAGTAGAAATACTGTGCGGGCTTTATGGTGCGCTCGTTGGTGAATACGTGTATCTACCAATTGGAATATGACACGTCATCTAATATTTTTTTAAAAATTAATAACAAATCTATAATATATTAAATATCGCGTGATAATCATTTTTTGAACTATTTTAGCCAACTATAATTATTTCAATAGTATCTTACTTTTCATTTTTTAATATATATTTAATTGAATATTAATTATTAAATATGTACGCAAATAAATAATTGAATTATATGAGAATAATCAAATTGATTCATGAATATGAAATTTAATTAATTTGAATAAATAAATATAGAAAAAGAATAATGTATATACATTTAAACAAATGAGGATGTAAGTGAACCAACATGAAATTTAATTAATTTGAATTAATAGATATAAAAAAATAATAATTTATATATATTTAAACAATTTGGGTGTACATGAACCAANATCAATTTGATTCATGAACATGGAATTTAATTAATTTGAATCAATGAATATAGAAAAAGAATAATGTATATACATTTAAACAAATGGGGTGTAAGTGAACCAACATGAAATTTAATTAATTTGAATTAATAGATATAAAAAAAAATAATTTATATATATTTAAACAATTTGGGTGTACATGAACCAACATGAAATTTAATTAATTTGAATCAATGAATATAGAAAAAATAATAATTTATATACATTTAGACAAATTGCGTTATATCATAAATTAAATGAATAATATTGAAATTAAATAAGTGTACATGAACTTGAATAATTTATATACTCTTATAATAATTGGATAACTCTCAAATTATATGATCTTTAATAATTTATATATTTTAGAACAATTTATGATAAAATAAACATGTGTTCATGAATTTGAATAATTTATTTACTTCTAAAATAATTGAATAGCTCCTCAAACATGTGTACATGAACTTGATTACTTAATATATCCATAAATAAATGTTAATTAGTATACATGCATATACATAAATAATTGAATTGTAGTA